GGCTGTCTCTGTTACAAATGTGTCCAGACGAAACCTTTTCTTAGAGCATTTCCTTCGCATTCATATTATACTTGGGAACAAATGCGAAAAACACATACAAACGCATTTCTCATTGGAAACGAATCCGGTAGAAATTATCATTGCTCAAAGCTTTCAATAATTATTTATTCAAGGAAAAGGTTTGGTTTGGATGATTTGATTAAGGCAAAACACTCGAGGGTTTTTTTGCCTGAGGGATGCCTTCGTGGAAGACTTCAAAGGGAAGCTGGCTCGTTACACCTCGGCCGGTACTACCAGTGCTATTAGCGACTTTACCGTTGGTGGACTCAAGAAAAAGAGATGTATTTATTGAGAATATTCTAATGGAAATTTCATATGATCGGGGTTGAATTTAATAATTACGAAAACTGAAATATGGAAAAGATATCCAATGGCTATATTTTCGATTTTTCAAAATTTAAATACAACAAGGTTGATCATATAAATGGAAGCCTTCTACATACTAATATTGAAAAAAAATAATGCAAAAAGTTAATTTGAACGGATCATAGATTTAGAAAGTTTTGAAATCATCAGTGATATCTTTAAAATAATTATAAAATTAATAATTAACGGATTATACATTTTATAAATTTAAATTATAAAATAATATAATTATAATATTATAAATATAATTATAATTATTAAAATATAATTAATATTATTATAAATCTATTCTAATTATTAAAATATAATTATAAACTATTAAAATTTTTCCTATCATCAAAGTACCTTAGCAATGCATCAATACATCGAGCAATAAATCATGAACATGAATGCTTTAAAAAAATATAAAATCCCATTGATTATATTAACAAAATCAAATCTAAATAGTACCGAAAACTGACTTAAAAATTGTTTAAAAGACAATGTTGATATACTAGCTACATCATTGCTTACTTTCACGCTTCTCATAATTAATTTACATCTATTCTTTGCCCTTCGTTGGCAACATGCTTTGAAATCGTCGTTCATAAAATTAGGTCGCTAGACTGTAGTTGACCTATAACTGTTTCAATAATTATTTTTAATTGAATTGTGTTATGGAATTATTATTAGTAATTCGATGTAATGTTTATGGATGGATATTTAATTATTATACGTTTACAATTTGATTTGTATAAATTTTTAATTGATAACTTGCATAAACTTTTGAGTGAAACTTTTTATTAATTTGATTTGTATAAATTTGCAATTGATAACTTGCATAAACTTTTGACTGAAACTTTTTATTGATTTAATTTGTATAAATTTTTAATTGATAACTTGCATAAACTTTTGACTGAAACTTTTTATTGATTTGATTTATATAAATTTTTAATTGATAACTTGCATAAACATTTGAATGAAACTTTTATTGATTTGATTTGTATAAATTTTTAATTGATAACTTGCATAAACTTTTGACTAAAACTTTTTATTGATTTGATTTGTATAAATTTTTAATTGATAACTTGCATAAACTTTTGACTGAAACTTTTTATTGATTTGATTTATATAAATTTGTAATTGATAACTTGCATAAACTTTTGACTGAAACTTTTTATTGATTTGATTTGTATAAATTTTTAATTGATAACTTGCATAAACTTTTGACTGAAATTTTTTATTGGTTGATTTGTATAAATTTGTAATTGATAACTTGCATAAACTTTTGACTGAAACTTTTTATTGATTTGATTTGTATAAATTTGTAATTGATAACTTGCACAAACTTTTGACTGAAACTTTTTATTGATTTGATTTGTATAAATTTTTAATTGATAACTTGCATAAACTTTGACTGAAACTTTTTATTGATTTGATTTGTATAAATTTGTAATTGATAACTTGCATAAACGTTTGACTGAAACTTTATATTGATTTGATTTGCATAAACGTTTGATTGATAATTTGTATAAACTTTTGATTATATAAATTTTTTATTTGATTTGTCTAAATGTTGTTCAGTTTATTAAAGTTATTTCGGTACTTACGTATTCACGCCACCGCACTTACGTATTAACGCCACCGTACTTACGTATTAACGCCCCCGTAGCAGAAGTTGTGCTGATGCGTCAATAAAGAGCCATCATGATGTTTCGTACGCAGTTGTCTTTGGGATTCCCTTTTGCCTTGGTGTTTGCTGATTTTTGACGCGCTACGAAAATGCGTCTTTGGGATTCGCCAAACACAGAAGATGCAATTTTATTTTTTCAGGAGCGAAATATTTGACCAAAAAAAACGAAAATGTACCAATTCGCATGATATTAAACATTATTTTGGTAAACGTACGTTTTAATTTAAGACAGTGCGATCAGCAAGTGGGACTTAGAAAAGACAACTGGTTTGAAAGAAGCAGAATTCCATTTTTGAGATTCCAGCTTTGAGATTCATATACTGCTGGTATGAGGAGTTGACGTTTTGTTAAAAGCAACTCGATTTATCGGATAAAACTGTTATAAATTGGAACAATTACATGCGTGAATTATGTGTCTTGGATATGGAGAATAAACCAAACAAGAAGATCGCATTGTGGAAATTGATGAAAGTTTGTTTACCAAGCGTAAAAATAATTGCGGTCGAGTATTACTCGAACAGTGGGTGTTTGGTGGTATATGTAGAGAAACAAAAGATTCGTTTATTGCCATTGTTCCTATTAGAACTGCTCTACCCTTCTTAACAAAATTATTGAAAACATTGCAGATGGTAGCACAATTTATTCTGAGAGTTGTAAAGCTTACCAAACAAATAGAATAGAAAAAGAAGGATTCTTACATGCTAAAGTTAATCATAGATATAATTTTATTGATCCTGATACAGGAGTTCATACAGACACAGTTGAGGGAATGTGGGGCAGTGCTAAATGGAGGAACAAGAGACATAGGGGGATAGCGAGACTTCATTTAGAATCTTATTTAGCATCATTTATTTCATATGGCGACCTCATTTAGTTCATATGGCGACATCATTTAGTTCATCTGGCGACATCATTTAGTTCATATGGCGACATCATTTAGTTCATATCGCCATGACAGCATAAGGTCAAAGAAACTAGAGACTGTTTTAAATTTGTGTTAAACTCTATATCGGCCTATTTTCCACCGAAATCCGATTGACTACTTTGATTTTAAATAAAGTATTTTAATTTATGATTTGTCGCAAAAATTTGAGGTGTAGATTGTCGGCACTTAAAAACCTCCAAATCTGCAGATGCGGTGGCGTTGATACGTAAGTAACGTTATTTCAAAACGTAGTATTCTCATTAACGTGAACGTATTATTCGTATAACGTGAACGTATTATTATAACGTAAACGTATTATTCTCATTAAACTTCTGCGGCATTTGATTAACTGCCAGTAAACAATTATTGAAATAATTATATTTTTTATTTTCCATTTATTTTTCATGTGCAAATACACCTGTGCGCTGACGATTAGTGTTAGTCTTTTTAGGTGAAGTTTACACAAATAATAGCAAAGAAGCTATTAAAGAAGTACTTTAATTTGTTTTTTACGTGTAATACTTTCAGCAGACTTCTTTATTATCATTAGCAGCAACCTAATCATTGAAAAGTTCCTTATGTTTTATGTTCTCTTGATTGTTCAGAATTGTGTATATCTAATTGCATTGAAACTGTGTAACAGAATTCAAATACCCACCATTAAGGACAATGCCGTTCAATATACTTCGCTTAAATTCATAAAATTTTAGAAACTTAAATAATTTGAGACAAATTTCTAAAACCTATTTAAATATTGGTAACCGAATTATTTAGTTCATTTATACAGGAGATTCTATTTTATTTATATCTAGTGTGAAATCACTAGTAGTGATTAGCAAAATGTTTAGGAAATTTTGAAGAATTGCGATTGTAATGTCATCTTGCATTAATCACTTCCAAATATGATTTCAGAATATGCCCAATGACTTTTTTATAAATTTAGAAAAGTGTTAAAAATGGCAAAAAGAATCAAGATATTTTTTTTATCGTTACACTACGTATGTTTGGAAAATCTAGATTAATTATTAGCTTCTTAAGCTATATTACTAAGATGATTTAATTTTTATAATTATTTTTAATTAGTTTGTATTTTAATTTTTTTTAAAATTTTTACCTCTCTCTTTTTTATATATATATGGTGTGGAATCACTAGTAATTAGCTAACTCTTTGGAATATTTCAGAAAATTTTCGATCATGGTGTCATTTGGTGTTAATCACTAATTAGTATGATTATAAAAAGTCTTAAAAATGGCAAAATGAATCGAGGCAGTTTTTTTACATTACATTTTACAAACCTAGATTAATTTTTCATTTAATTTCACATGCAACACTTAAAATTATTTAATTCATTTGTGCAGCAGATTCTTTTTTTTTTTCTTCTTACATCTGATGTGAAATTTTTAGTGATTTGCTATTTTGCTGGGCTATTTCAGAAAATTTATTATCATGATTTCACTTTGCGCCTATCACTAATAAGTATGATTTTATAATAGGCTCATTGATACTTTTTTATTAATTTTTAAGTCATAAAAATGACTCAGAAGAATCGAGAAATTTTTTTTTACTTTACACTATATTTTGCAAACCTACATTGAACTTCCATTAAATTTTATGTAAATACCACTTGAAATTATTTAATTCATTTGTACATCAGATTCTCTCTTTTTTTTTTTAATAGTATATCTTATGTGCAATCATTAGTGATTAGCCAAATGTTTGCGGCTATTTCGAAAAAAATTCGATTATGATGCAACCACCCTTTTGTATTTTATCACCAATAAGTATGATTTTAGAATATGTTCATTCGTTTGTTTTATTAATTAAAAAATGTCTCAAATAACGGCACAAAAGAGCCGAAGCAGTTTTTGTTATTTTACGTTATATTTTGCAAACCTAGATTAAATTTTTCCTTTCGAGTAACACATACCACTTGAAAGAAATCAATGCAATTATATTAAATAAAAATATCAACCAACCTGGTCAGTCTTGGAGAGAGTCTGGAATGTTGGCAGACACTTGACCCACCTGATCACCATAAACAGCAGCCTGGCTGTAATCTCTTGTACCGACTCTCTATTAGACGCCACGTGACCCCCGAAACTTAGAAGTCCCGCGCCGCCCCTACCCCCGTTGCCACTAGCTTCCGATGTCGGAGACATGAGCTGTGGGCATAGAGGATGGGGCGGTGGCGGCATGGATGAGAAGCTTGGAAAGTGGGGGTGGTCACCTAATTTAGAAAGTGGGCTGCCGCTTCCAAGGGCTACCACCCCTCCCCCCAGGGGATTGAGTTTAACGCTGTTCCATATCAACTCTTGGGACTTTTCGGCGTTGAGCAACATCTGGAGGAGCCCTGCGGACGAGGCGCCGAGAAATGCCGCTGCAGCAGCGGAAGATGCTGGGTCTTTGCCTGGCGCCTGCTGGGGCGGTGGAGATCCGAAAAGGCCGCCGTCCGGGTGTGCCGCCGCTGCGGCCGCGGCAGCAGCAGCTGCAGCTGCCAGAGAAGAGGGTAACTTCGACATGTCGAATGCCAGCTTGGCGGTGTAGGTCTGGTGGTGTGGTGATGGGCTGTTGGTGTGCTCAGTCGGTGGTGAGTAAGAGGATGTCCAAGTTGAATAGGGTGGTGGTGGTGGTGGTTTGCTTTGATAGATCCGTGAGGATCGGATGTGTCCTTGAATTTTGGTTTGCGAGGTCCTCTTTCGTGCTGGACCGCTGAAATAAGAAAAAGGAGTTAAATTAATTGCCGTACGAAAAACATAGTATTTCTCATTCGATTAAAGAATTACAGTCACACATAAAATATAAACCCTCTGTAATGTACATTTGATATAAAATTACATAAAAGAGTAGTCTACAGCCTAACGTCTAATACATATATATAAAGAATAATGTCTGTTTGTGTGTTTGTTCGCGATTAACTCAGTCACTTCTATAACAATCGTCACCAAACTTTCTACCATTATTTTCTGAGTCCTGGAAAACGTCAACTCCCCCAACCAAAAAAAAAAAAAAAAAAAAAAAATCTGAAATGTTTCTTTCAGATTTTAAATTACGTCCAAAGGGGCGTTTTTTACATTTTGTGTGTTACCTTTCTTTATTAAATATCATGTTCCTCGCACTTAAACCATAAGATCCAGTGCAACAGCAATATCGCAAAATAGTTTTAAAACGAGCATATCTTTAGAATTTCCGATACAGAGACTCACGCGCTGGAGATAAAAATGTTTTTCTGCACAACGTTGCCATTGCTCGCTTTGAAATCCTTGAGTTTGTTAATCAAAAATTCGTCAAAGTTTTAAAAAAAATAGGAAATCGATCATAAAACAAATTTCAAATTTGGTCTTCCACATGCTCATATTCGTTGGAGGATTACGTTATTCAAAATTCGATGACTCTATGTACCGTTATTTTATGACAATGTGAGAAATATACATACATTTACGCAGATTTTCATTATTTAATTTCTTCAAATATAATGCAGGACTCTAACATTTTATGGCAACAGTTTGAAAAGTGAACCGACATTTATCCGTCCGACGCAAAATGCCAAAACGAAAGTAATTGTCCTTCGGGACTCAAGTCCCTTTGGACTTAAAAAAAAAAAAAAAAATCTCAAATCTGAGATAATTATTAAAAAATCTGAAAACACTATTTTCGCCCTCATTTTTTCTGAGTGGCAACAGTCTCGCACGTTGGAGATAAAAATCTGCTTTATTAGAGTTTTTTAATAAAAAGTTTCTAAGTTTTACAATTAAATAAAAATAGCATTGTCAAACATTAAATACATTACTCCCGATTCCAAAAACTCGCGAAAAACTCTTTCGGCTGTTCCTATCTTCGTACGACTTTAATCAGCAGAGCTATTAATTAAAAACTCTGAAAACACTGATTTTTCGCACTCATTGTTTCGTGTAGCAACAATGTGGCATTGGAGATAAAAATGCTGCTACTGGTCGCTTTCAAATCGGAGAGTCTGTTAAGAAAAAAATTGTAAGTTTTACGAAACCTATCTATATATAAAAAAGAATGTTTGTTTGTTTGTTCCCGTTATTGATTTCTGATCAATTAATCTTTTGCCACATTTAATCGATTAAAGTTGAATATATGTGATATATTGAAAGGAAACTGAGCTTTTATGACCGTTTGATGAGAAAGACGAAAATCATTTAAACTCTGTGGCATTGTTGTAGATATAATGAGAGTGAATTAGTTTATTTTTATATCGAAATTTTTTGTGTAGGTTCCATATCGAAAGACTGAACAATGTATGACTATGAATCATATTTTTTGCATCGTTTAAGAGAAGCATTACAGCGGTATCGTTCTCTCTGTTGTTAGATATATTACTCTCGATCTAATTTAATTAGCCTCAAGTACTTCCTTTAACACTCAATGCACATGTTACTACACATGTTATTGTACACCCATGTTACTGCAAAGCAAGTAAAAGTTACGTATTTGAATTGTAGAGGGTTGTTTTTCCCTACACAGATTCTTAAATAGGTAGTGCTGTTGTTAGACTATTCATGAGAAAAAAGAAAATGTCAGATAACTGATTCCTTTAAAAGGAATTGGGTTTTCATAGTAAAAAAGAATTACCCATTTAGTGATTAGTTTGCAGAGTAGATAAATCACTGGGGTATTTCTGCTTGAGTCTTTGCTATATGCTTAAGGGGGTTTCGTCAATTCAAAGTAGGCAAATCATACATATGTTATAATTAAATATTTTGGATTTGTAATTAAACATTTTGAACTTTTAATATGTCTTATGCCCAAAATAATGATTGATAATAATGAAAATTAAGCATTGCTCTTAATATTTGAATGTTACTAATTAAAGATCTTTTATTTAGTACTTTATTAAGTAATATTCAATAATAGACATTTGAAGGATATTTGGATTTAATTGGCGAAGGATTTAAATGGAGCTATATAATTCATAATTGGTTTGTAAATATCAGTTTACATAGTATTATGCATTGCAGTTTTACCACATGAATTTTTGGGGACTCATACACCTTAAACCCCTTATGATCTTCGAATATGTGACTGTTGCAAGAATTGAGATATTTTATTTATTTTAAAAGCAATTACTTCCAACCTTTTACATCTGACTACATAATATAGCTGCTTTGGAAAATAGCAACCAGAAAGTTTGTGTTGCCACAAATATTTTTGTAATTTAATCCTCTTTGTGACAAAATATTTCGCCATGTTTCCACCTTGCGTGCATGATATTTTAAAAATGGCTAATGGTAACTGAACCAACAATCTGATGAATATTTTAATATTGAAAAATTTTATGGACGAAAACATTAAAAATTTTTTTAATAAAATGCATTTTATAAACTTAACTCAAAATAAAATAAAAATTTAACATGAAATTTTTAGAATTTTAGGTTCACAGTAGTTTCCAAATATTATAAAAGCTATATATTAAATATGGAATTAAATTATGCAACACAATGTTTCAAACTGTGCGCGCAGGTTGGAAACATGACGAAAAATGTTGTCACAAAGGGATTAAATTATAAAAATATTTGTGGCAACACAAACTTTCTGATTACTATTTCAGAAAGCAGCTATATTATGTAGTCAGCTGTAAAAAGTTGGTAATTGCTTTTAAAATAAATAAGTTATCCCAGTTCTTGCAACAGTCACCTATTCAAACATCTTATGGGTTTTAAGGTGTATGAGTCCCCTTAAAGGTTTAGTACCTAAATAATGGCAACAATATAGAATAACTAAAATACAGTGAAATTACAGCAGATTGCATTTAAATTAATAATTTTCATAGTGTAGGTAATTGTGATTACTGTCATTAAATTAAATTAATGACAGTGAATTTCAATAGGGTAACTTTAAATATCTTTAATTACTGCATTATTAAGACGATAAACTAAACTTATTTTATACTAATTAATAATAATTAATCAGATTTACTTTCTAGTTATGAAAACATATTCAGAACAGAATTCATTCTTTAATTCCACATTGTAATCAAAGTGTTTAGTAATTATCATTTCTTTGTCTCAAGTATTGAGCTGATGCTAACTATGTATAGAGTGAAACAATTCGTTTGCCTCTAAGATTTACAGTGCTGAGAAGTAATCTGCAGAGAGTGTTAATTGTTCAACAGCGGCCGAGCGGTAAGAACCGCTGAACACAGGTATTTCGGTTCGGGGTTCGAGTTTCGGAGAACGGGTTGGCTGCATGGGAGTTTTCGTGGTTTTCCCATGAGTAATGTCGATAGCAATCTTAAGGGATAATGAGCAAGTTTCCCTTAAAAAGACCTCCACACGACACCTCTCCCTTTCCGTGTAGTGCCTAAGGGTAGAACACGTAATAAGTAAAAAAAAGAAAAAGAGAGTGTTAGTTTTGTCTGAGGTTCAGCTAACTTCGATATACCATTAAGAAGGTTGTAACTTCATGCATTTTTAGCTCGCATAAAAATGTACGTGACGTTGAAAGATTGTTTAGAGAATTATCACTTTTAAAGTACCACAAAATCAATTAACACCTTTCTTCCTTTTACTTTATTAAACTCGAAATAAGTTTAACAGTGGGCACCAACTGGTGCTTACAGAAACCAGTACTTTTAGCTTAAATCAGAAGGTTTTGAATGAACTTAACATTGACGAAGCTTAACGGCTTCGTCAATTTACTTTTTACAATCATTTAACTTTTTAATGAAGCCAAACGGCTCCACAATTTAACCTTTGCTAAAGTTGGCTCTGACCGAAGTCGCCGTAAACAAACCTCAAAGCAAGAATAAATCAACGCCGCAGAATTCTAATCTCTAGAAAAATTAGAATAAAAGTTAGCAACGTGGTCTTCAAGCAGGCAGAACACGCTCTGATTTCTCCCTCCAAAATTTTCCTTTAAATGCTTCCTTCTTCCTGCCTAATTTGAATATCGCGTGTGCTGGAAATTTGCATTCTGAAAAGGAAATGAAAAGAGGTCTGATAGGAAAGTTACTTTAACTTACAGTAACTGGTTAGAAAATTAAATGATACTAAGGTGATTCTAAAATTATAAAATAATTTCATTTTTGATCCTGATGTGGAACCTGTACTTGTTTGCCTCGAAATCAATAGAGTTCTTAACTAAATGTACGCTAAACACCAGGTTATTGCTTTGGTAATTTTATATTCTAAACGCTATTGAGCTGTTGGGAGACCCTAGTCCGGATAATTTACTAAAGGCGGTTCTACATCTTTGGAAGCGATTTTTCTCAATTGCCATAATTTTATTTTACAAAATGTATTTTAGAATTAAGTAAGGCATAAAACGTAGCTAAACATGAAAAATTGAATTTTGACACTATGTCCGTATTTTGTTATTAACTAAGGCATAAAACGTAGATAAATATAAAAATTGAATTTTGACAATATTTATTTCATTATTAAATAAGGCATAAAACGTAGATAAATATAAAAATTGAATTTTGACAATATTTATTTCATTATTAAATAAGGCATAAAACGTAGATAAAATGAATTTATTTGACAATATTTTCATTATTAAATAAGGCATAAAACGTAGATAAATATAAAAATTGAATTTTGACAATATTTATTTCATTATTAAATAAGGCATAAAACGTGAAATTTTGTTATAATTGGTTTGAAGCAAGAACAATAAGGAAAAAGTTTCACAAAATTTAAAGACACTCAAAATACAGTAACTTAAAAAGTATATCAGTGACGCTT